AATATTGAAGAAACATTAAAATGAGATATTTTTCTTTTTCTCGTAGTTTAATTGAAATAAATTATTTCATGTACAAATTTTTATGTTTTACTTAATATAGAAACATTTACCATATCATAATCATAGAAGCATTTACTATACTTACTATACTGATATAATAATACATTTACTATACTGATATAATAATCGAGCGATGATATAATTATGAGACATTCTTCGGAGAGGTAGCATTGTTCGGTTCTCTTTTCTCTCGGGAGATTATCTAATGCTCGTATGCTTATCTAATTAATGTCTGCATCGTGTTGACGTCCTTTGTGACGATTATGAATAGGGAGATAAGGTCTGGCAGCTCTATACGTAACACTGGGGTTGTTATGTTACGCGTGAGGTTCATTGGTAAATGATACACTCGGAAGAAAAGCGGTGGGTGAGACGTAGAGAAAAAAACGTAGATGGAGTCACGCATAGATAATGCCGGACGCGTGTTCAACCGTTTATTGACATAACAGGGGCCGCAAATTACGATAAGATCAGGCAACGTAAGCTTAATCTCTCGATCGAGACGACGAGATCGAGAGCAAAATTCTCGAAGCGACGCATGAAATCCGTCGGACTTTACAATACGAAAAATCAGAGATCGCATCTAATTAAAATCACAACTTAACATTATGTGAATAATAACAATATATTTATAAATTATATGAATAAGAAAACACTAAATTATTTTTAAAATATATTAGTCCGCACATACATTAATATAATTAGGGGAAAAAAAATCATAAGAAATGCATTTCAAAATTACAAACAATTTCAGCGCATTATATACAATACATTTTCAGTTTATAAAATTGGATGTGTATATAAATTCTTATCGAAAATATTTAAGCATTAAGATTCAACTCTAATCGAAAAATTCTCGTTATTCAATGTGTATTTACATTTACGGTCTTAAGATACTCTATTTAATATAATTTCTTATTTATAAAAAGACATATATTTGAATTATAATTAATTAGTATTAATAAATATAAGCTATTATATTATTAGTATTAATAATATAATAGTAGTAATAAATATCCCAATAACTAAATATACCAACGATTGAAAAATTGATAATACATTAATATATAATTATTATTTGTCAATAATAGCAAACTAGAAAGCAATTAAACACATCAAAATAAGTAATAAAAGTATATATAATTTTTTTTTTACAAATTATTGTGAAAAATATTGTTTTCTTCCCAAATTTTGTTTTAGAAGAGACATTTATAATTTTATTAATTTTCTTACCATCTTGAGTAAAACATAGTATCTACATTTTTTAATTTTTACAATGTATTTTCGAAATATTGTATTGTATTTATTCAAACATGTAGTATGTTTTTGATTGTAAAAAAACTAAAAATTAAATTTTGAAAATTTATTTTATTAGAAATTCAGTTACTGCACTATCAATGTGGTGTAATATCAATGAAATTTCTTCTGCTTTTTTAAAAATTTATATGATAGTTTTCAATTATCATTTTACATGAACATTAATTCTTTTTATGATGCTACATTAATAATCAATAACAATTAATACATAATTGATCATGACTTCTTATTAATTCAATCATTATCAAAACATTTATCTTATATACCTATATATGTTGTATCATTTCCCAAATTTTGTTTATAATTTTTTATAATTATTTCTATCTTTCTTGTAGAACTATATTATTCATCTTTTATGTACATGAATACTTTTTTATTTTTCTCAACAAAATGTTCGTAAAATTAGTTTTCCTAGAAGATATATATATATATATATACCAAAATATTTAATTAACTTAAACTAATTACTAATCAGCTAAAATGGTAAACCGTGTATATTTCTCAAGCGTTTTGAGATGGGAGGGACGAAATTGGTGCTCCTCAGAATGGGTCCGTCAGAGCGGAGAGGCCCGGCAGAGAGCCGTGACCGCGACTCCGTCGTAGCCATAACAACGCTGCGTTCGCTCTCTGGTCCGTTCCTTTCTTCGAGCGCACGTAGAAACTGCGTATAACGCGTACCGCCAGAAATTCATGCAAGCACGCACACTACGTCCCTCACGCGCGAGGAATACGTGCGCGAGGAATATATGCGTGGTGTCGCCATCGCTCCCGCGTCAACAGATATTCGGCCAGCCAAGTCCACCCGTACTAATCAATCTCGCTTACACTCATTTATCCCCATTTTTTTCATTTTGAGCAATTAGTGTGCATGTTTTTTTACACAAAAACTAACATTTTTTATACAAGACAAACATTTTTTAGACAAGAAGACATTATAGATTTTCTAGTGAACGTTTCTTATATTGTACGATAATGTAAAAACTTCAATTTTTTTTTTTTAAATGAAGATTAAACGAATTTTGACTAACGTTAGGTGTAAGGATATGTAAAGAATATCGTTTAAAGAGAAATAGTATAAAAAATAAACAGAATTTATTATTGGATAACAACACATACATGTGTTTATTTACTGAACTAACGTGTTCAAAAGTATTATAATTTGTCTCACAAGACAAGAGTAATAATAACACTAACTTATACTTATAATAATTTGATGATATTTTAATTAACATTTTACCGTTAATATTATAATTTTGTGGAGTTTTAATTAATATTTATCATTAATAGCCATATCTTTCGAAGTAACAGAACGATATAACGACAAGCCAAATTCAATTAAACGCGTAATGTGTATAACTCCCAGACAGCACACAACATTCATAAAATATTTATAAAATGTTTGTGAAATTTTTAATATTTTTTAAA